CTTGGATTTTTAAAACTAGCCCAAAAGTTCTAGAAACTTACAATTTAGTCCTTAAAAATTAAATTAATTATTTAATAAATTTATATTGAAAAATGGGGGTGTGACAATTCTCCTCTCCTTAAAATAATTTCATCTTCGAAATTTACTCAAGTCACAAAAATGCAGAAGTGAAGCTTTTAGCAATTCTTCAATATCTTCAGGTAGCTTTTACATAAGTACGAGCCCTATACTAATCTTTAACCAGGTGAATATACATTCTCGTCAGAACTCTCTCTCATTCTAATAAAAGAATCTGAACAAAATTATCCTTATGAAAATAATTCGACCTTGGCTATTAGGTTAGGTTCATAGAGTGATAACCTATTCCAATTTCATTTATAGAGTCGGGTTAGAATTTCTTGAATAAGAAACTCTCACATTACTCGTGAGGCACTTTACATAATTTAGACAAAGGTTTTATTCTTTTTATGCATATTCGAGACATAACGGATAGAAAACTTAGGTTGGCTTATTACATAGAGGAACTTGACTTTGGAGTTTCGGCTTAGAGAAGTACGATTATAGTCTAGGGGCATGTAATGACCATACATCCTATGAAAGTCGATCGGCTAGTCTAGCTAGAAAAACTTGTCTGATACCACTAAATGTAACACCCTCAGACCGATGTGGGTTACCCGATCCAATCCGAGATGTCACATTAGGGCCACCAGAGTGACCCAGACTAAAAATCCTAGAAAATTTAAAATTTTCATTAATCCATTTAAAACTGTAAAATAATTTATAGATAAAATACAAGTTCAGAACATCATTTATATATTAAAAGTCAAATTCAAGAATATATAATAATAAAACAAGTTTTAGGCTTAAATATAAAAACAAAATACAACCTACATGTCCCCTAATCACATGCACCGTACTCCGCAAGCAATGCTGGTGGAACTTCTCTACTGATGTCAGTAAAAGTACATGATCAACCTCTTTAACCTAAAATAGTAATTAACATAGTGAGCTTTGGAAAGCTCAGTAATACAGAACTACCAGATGAATGCAATAGGTTTTTGGGTATATGGTAAAGCATAAATTTCCTTAATGGGACAAACATCATCAGATTCTATCGATGATTTCAGATTTTGTTACTCTTCAGTTACAAATAGGGATTTACGGTCCGAAGGAAGTATTTAGAGAGACATATTCAGAAGATTAAATTAGGGAGTCTAGTGTGTTCCAACAAAACGGAGAAATGTGTACATATCCTTTAAAAGCATTAGTAGTTTAAAACATATTTTAAAACCATAATAATACCCTCCAATCGAACACCTATATGTAGTTTCTCCAGAACTGCATCCATAAGGACTTACCCTAAGAATACAAAAAAGGAGCCACCCTAAGGGAGTACCTTGGGGCCTACCCCAAGGGCCTCTTTAAGTATGTAAGGAATTACCAGCTTGATCAGAGCTGAACCTCCATACTCCATAATCCTACCCATACGGTATCCAGTAAAAATCAGATTGAGCAGTAAATTTAATATCAAAATCATAATCCAGTAGAATATTGTTAAAATGACAATATAGTTATTTAAATCACATGAATTCCCTCCATTCGTACACCAAAATATAGTCTCCATACTAAGGGAGTGCCTTGGGGCCTTAGAGCCTACCCAAGGAATACCTTAGGTCCATAAGGAATTACCAGCTTGATCAGAGCTGAACCTCCAAACTCCATAATCCTACCCAGATAGTGTCCCAATAAATTGATTCAAATAGTAACCAGTAGAATCCATGATCCATAAATAAAAAACGATTACATTTTCCAGTGAAAACATGTAACCAGAGAGTACATATCAGGTAGCCATAGTTCATAAACAGTAAATCAATAAATCAGAATATCCAATTCTCTGAAGGTACTTGGTATTTATCAGGTAGGGAAGCACGAAATTTTGTAAATTGATAGGATTTCTGAAATAAGATCCCTATAAAAAGGGGTTTGATATCTAATGGATTCATCTATCATTCGGGAAGTGATTTATCAATATCATATAGTAATCAGATATTTTTTTGGAGCCACTAAGTAATCATGAAGGTATTCAGAATCTTTTACATCAGAGTTACTTGAGATTTCATATATGAGAGGAGTGATTCCATTATTCAGGAAATCAGAGGAATTTTGTTTTCTTGATGAATTCTTAATAATTTAACCCAATGAGAGTAAAACAACAATTGGTAGTATTTAGGATTTATAACAAATTATCAGGATTTCGAGTCAAATTAAACTAACCAATCCCAACAGTGTGATACTTGTCAATCATTAAGGTCGATGTACTTCAACATTATTCACTTCTTAATACTAATTGCTCTAGTTGAACTGACCACCTTCTGAATCATCATTGAATGGATCTTAGGGAGACGAACAGGTATTCCAATGGTATTTATTTCATTTTTGTATTGAAACGGTATCAAGAAATGTCGACGTGCTTGATTCGTGGTTTTTAACCCTTATGGAAGGTATAACATATATGTTCATCAATGTTTCCAGACTTATCCAAGTCATCCACTTAATTCTAGGTCAATGAGGGTACTTAGGTCTTTTAATATTCGAATTTATCCCTGTCATTTATGATTTTCTAGAGTAATTCGGCCGTTTCAACAATTCATATACGTACAATAATTTCATTCAGTTTAACTTTGTCATTTCTAGTAATTCATACGTGGAAAGTACTTTCGCTAATTTAGCCTCATGATGTTCGCTCAGGAATTAGAAATTCTAGGTCATTTTTTTCCATTTTGTCGATATTTCAATCATTTCATTTAATTTTGTCATATACATTTCTTCTAGAAAATATTCTTTAGGATTTTATTCAAGAATCATAATTCTAAGTCTTTTAACATCACAAAGGTTATGATCGATTAACATGGTTATTTTCACTTTCAATGACAATCATTGTCTTTTACATCATACATGTATTTTTGTAGTTTCTTATCCAATTATTTCCTACATTTAACCTTTAATGAGATTAATCAAAATTTATGAGTCTTGAGATTAATTGATTTAATTGTTAAATTACTGAACTTAGATTTATCTCTTAACAATCTTCTAGTTCCTTACATGATTCAATTGAGTCTTATTGGATTTACTATCTTTATATTGTATTCAATTCGAGTCCATTAATAATTAACTCTATGTAATTGACCAATAACTTCAATCATGCATTAACAAATCACCAACATGTAACATAAAAGATGCATAAGGTAGTAGAATATTACTTTTATTTTTGAACCACATCGATTAACCAATTAAACTCTATTTGATCGCCATCAAACTTTAATCCCACGTCTCATAATGTCACGGATATATGGCAAAACCAATTACATTAGAAACAAAAGTTAAACATGAATAATTGAATTGAATCGGGAAATAAAATGTCAAAAAATAGCTTACCGAGTTTGAATTTGGCAAAACAAACTTTGGATTCGGTCTCAGGACATCGAAAAACATAAAATATGGCTTTTCAAAAAATTTGACTTTTTAGTCAAACACAACGGTAAAATTGGTCAAAGTCAAAGTTAACAGGCATATCAACGGTCAACGAGTTGGTCAATGGTCAGGTCAAAGTTAATGGTTCAGTCAAGGTAAGCGGGTTAAACCAGTTCGGGTTGACTCAAGCCGGTTCAAATTGGTTTGGGTTGGTTCCGTCCACCTGGACCGTTTCTAGAAGAGACCATGACTGGAGGAGAGCCCACGCGCACGCGGCGGTGACGAAGGGGTCGGTTCGGTCGACCGAGCACTCCGGGAGTATCCAAACACCGATTACAATCAAAATTTAACCCAAAATTCACCAAAACCAAGCCAAAACATTTCCAAACACCACCAATACTTACCCAAGACGACGATCGATGACGAAACGATTTCAGACAATGAACCTGGTTGGGTTTTGGTCAGAATCTCATGGGGAGTACAACAACAGTGGGCGTGAGGCTAACCAGTAGATGGAGTGGCTGGAAAAAGCGAGAAACCAAATAGAGAGCTTGAGTTTCAAGTTCGACTTTCGAACGTTCTTCCCTGACGGACAACGTGGGGTTTCGACGAGCTTGGATCGAAGCGAGGCGACGCTTTTATAGGTTTCAGCAGTGACACCTACCAGTGGACAATGGCTTCGAATTGAGGAGGATGAGCTGGTGGGTTTTCATGATTTTGCGCCTAACAGTGGCAGGATCGGGCGATCTAATGGTTGGGGTTGAATCGTCGGTCGCTGCTGAGCTTAGTGGACACGGCGATGCACTTCTCGTTGACCGGAGGGGGTTGAACGGAGAGCGGCATGGACATGGGTTTTTTAATTGGGGCTAGGGATTTCACGATTGGGGTGTGTTTTCTGGTTTGGTTTTGGGTTATAACCCAAAACCGAATTATTATAAAAATATATTTTATTACATCCTATCAACAACAGTGGCCTAGCCCTGTTGGTAGGGCATGGTCGACCATTCCGGGGTCATAGGTTTGACACCCTCAGGCACCTATTTTTTCTATTTTCAACTGATCAAAAAATGGGATATTTATGGGGCTAGTCTCTGAACTTCATGGATTTTCGAAACTAACCTAAAAAGTTCCAAAAACTTACATTTTAGTTCTTAAAATCTCAATTAATTATTTAATAAATTTATATTGAAAAATGGAGGGTGTGACATAGTATTTCAATATTTGAATTATATATATATATATATATATATATATATATATTTATCACGTAATATTTTATGTTGTGTTTTAAATGTATACATAGATTTAAAATACGATGTTATCATTTGGTTTTTCACTTGGAGAGAGTCTTCCGTAAATATGGAACTAGTGGTATTCCCTGGAGCTCAGGTCACTTTCATTTGGTGACTAAACTCTAAATTAATTTGCGTTGGATTTGTATGCAGAAGAAGGATGCATCGCCGAAATAGAAATTCCAAACCGGAAATTGTACCTATTTAAGCATGCTCTTTTCTCCATCACCCAACCGCTCCATCAATTCAAACCCTGTATTCCTACTTTTATTGGCTTATTTCGTCTCAAAATCATGAAGTACAACCCTTGCTTCCATCTACTCTCTGTTTTGTGGATACAATGTTTCTTGGTTTGCTCATCAGCTATAGCTATCAGGAATCTCGCCACTGATCAGTCTGCACTTATCCTGTTTAAAGATGGTATTGTGGATCCTCAAAATGTATTGGCTAACAGCTGGACGGCCTCTACTTCTGTCTGCAAATGGGTTGGGGTTTCTTGTGGTGTCATCCATGAAAGAGTTGTAGCTTTGAATCTTACGGGTAACATCCCTCCCCACCTTGCAAATCTTTCATTTCTACATTCTCTTGACTTGAGCAGCAACCATTTCTATGGCCATCTGCCTCCAGAATTGGGACACCTGCATCGTTTGAGGGTCATTGAATTAAGCTTCAATGGTCTTAGTGGAGAAATCCCATCCTGGCTTGGGAACTTACACAGGGTTAACATATTGAAAATGAGAAGTAATAGTTTCGCAGGCACAATCCCTCGAACACTTGTCAACATGTCCAATCTTGAGATCTTGGACTTGGGATTCAATCAATTGTTTGGCCAGTGAAGACACTAGTTTTTTTTTCATTTGTTTATTTATTATTATTATTTTGTTTTAATATTATTATTATATTATATTATTATTATTAAATAAATAATTTATTATTATTACAGGCCTAATTACAAATCAACTCAGCCCAGTTTACATGCCCAGGCCCAATCAGATACAAGCTCATAGGAAACCCTAAACTCAATTTAGGGTTTGTATCATCTAACCCTAGCCGCCTCAGTATCACAGCCGTTGGATCTGAGAGATCCAACGGCCCACACGCATCCAGAACAAACCCTAGGGTGATGATACCCTAGGGACCACGCGGCCGCCGTTCGCCAACCTCTGCTACCACGCTGCCACGACGCCAACCGAAGGATCCAGAAGGCCTAGCCATAGCCGCACACGTCGCCCTCAACGGTGAGTCACCACTTGAAGTCCGGTGACTCACCAAGCTTCAATCTTTTAGCCAGTCCGAAGAAGATACCGGCGAGGCTTATAAAAACCGACCACCTGCAAACAAGAGAAGGAACGGAGAGCACAGGAAAAAAAGCCAGAGAACACAGCAACCAAACCATCAAAAAATCGAAACAAAAATTGAGAGAAGCCTTACCGAAGAAGCTGCGACGCCATCGGAGTTCATAGGCTGCCGTAGAAGCAAAATACCGAAGGTATTTTGTTTTGTAGATCTATGTAAATAGGAGATGTTTTGTGGGAAAGGGAGGTCGGATTCGATTTTAGATCATCCCGATCTATGTTTTGAGAGATTTTAGAAGTCGGCGGCAGACGGCTGCCGGCCGGTGACCGGCTTCCCTCCGGTGAGGGAAACTAGAGAGAGGCGAGAGAGTTTAAAACTCTCTCAGGAAGAGAGAGAAGGAAAGAGAAGAGAAATGAATTTTTGGCCTTAAGGCCGTCTGATTTGGGGCTTAAATACCTCTCCTCGAATGATGTCGTTTTGGGGAGGAGTCTATTTGTAATTTATTAAAAGTTAAACCCCGTATACAGTCCAGTAATTTTGTAATTTTATATTATAGTCACTGAAATCAAATTATGAACTTTTTAATTTGATCTCTTAATGTTATTTCTTTATAATTTAGTCACTGACATAAATATTTTAGACAAATAACCGATTTAGTCCTTTAATTATAATTAATTTTATTTTAATCCCGAATACATGTTTTAAACTTATTTTAATTTGATATATGAATTTGATATAATTTTTAATCTAGTCACTAAATTAATAAAAGGTAGAATAACATATTTAGCCACTGAAAAATTAATAATTATGATTTAATTCTATTAGGTTATAATTTAGTCACTAATTTCAATTTTTATTTATTTTTTACAAGTTTTATATATAGTTTTAATTTTATTTATTGTTTAGTTATATGTTAATATGTTTACTTTTAATTATTATTAATATTATTATTATTATTATTATTTAGCCATAAATATATATATTTATATAATAAATAATATTTATTTTATTTATTAAAATCTTATTTAATTATTTTTAACTTATTTTAATCCTGTTTTAATATTTATTTTTCAATATTAAGAAAGGGCAGTCTTAAAATAACTGGATGTCCATTTTCTGATATTTTTAAATAAATAAATATCCTATTTTATAAATTATATATTAATTGTTTTAATTATTTATTTATTTTTTAATATCGAAGAAAAGAGCTGTCTTAAGGCACCTAGAAGTCTTTTTCTGATATTTCTAAATAAATAAATATTTTATTTATAAATATATATAAATTAATATTTTTTCATAATTATAATTTTGAAATAATAGGATTATAAATTAAATATATTTTGAATTTTAAAATTTCTAATAATAAGAGACAATTTATAATTAAAAAGTACCAAATTTGGGAGTTGTAGGGGTGCTAATCCTTCCCTAAACGTAACCGACCACGAATCCCTTTTTATTATTAAAAAGAAAGAATTTTTGGTTAAAACGCAGATCAATTTATCTTTTAATCAATGTTTTCTTAAAAACTCTTTTAAAGGATGATTTTTAGGTATTCGACCTACCTGACCCAAAAGGCCGATGGCGACTCCCAAATTATTTATAAAAAAACCATTTATTCCCATCACTTTTCCTGCCAAGTAAAAAATTCGTGCCCGGATGAAAACCGGTTACGACAGCTTGGCGACTCCGCTGGGGACTTTGGTCAAGATTTTAAAATCAATTATAAATTGTCTCTATTAATTTTAAATTAAAAATTCATATATTTAATTTATAATTCTTTCTTTTCAAATTTTTTATATATACTTATTATTTTCATAGTATTTATATATATTATTTTATTAATATTTCATTTTATTTGCAAGTATTTTATTTCATTATTTATTTTTCTGTTAGAGGTTTGAACATTTCTCCTCACACACAACACTTGCATTGCATAACATAAAGCTCTATAATCAAGCTTGTCCTTTTTAAGTGTGAGTGAAAGCGACGTCTTCGTGAGAATTTATTCTCCGTGTCAGACCTAGAAAGTAACTTTCGGGGTTCATATGCTCTATGTCTTCGTGAGAATTTATTCTCCGTGTCAGGCATAGAGAAGTATATCCCCTCGAATTGAACTCGATCCACTTTAGTCTGTGATGGACTAGGATTGAGGGTTAACAGCCCAAGGGGGCACTAACAAGGACAATTCGGGTACATTTATTCTTAGATCTGAAACCCTGCATATAATGAACCCTAGAAACTCTTCCGATCTGAAGCCATGCCAAAATTTTGTCCAAAATAGGTGTACACACAGGAGAAATGATTTCTAACTTTTCTTTTAATTTATTTATTTTCTTACTGAATAAATTGCATGTGAATTTAAATTATTTAAAGTATGAAGAAAGCATGTTTAAATAAAGATATTTAGGTAGACATTATTATTAAATTATTTTTCCTTTATTATGTAAACTAATTCATTTTATTTTTGTTCTTTATTTCTTCTGTTTGCATAGCATCATACAAGATAAAAGGCATTGATCCTCGTGTTAATTGTCTCATTGGAAAACCTTCATCCATGGATAAAAAGTGTTCAAATCAAATAGTTCTAAACTTAGAAGTAAGACAGTGGGCTGAGGATTTACAAAGACAAGGGGGAGACAGTCTGCAGGATGACTATGTATCTGAGTTAGCCAGTTATGCTCCAGTTTCGCTAAAAAGAAATGATATGCAAGATTTACGAAGCATTTGGGAGAGTTGGGACTCAAACAAAAAGTTGCAGTTTTATCATACTTACGGAGACATCCCATATTTTCTCTATGTCGAAGTTGATGATGACTTACTTCAAGCCCTAATTCAATTCTAGAATCAGGGTACAATTGCTTCACTCTCAATAAGGAGGACTTGGTTCCTAATATTGAAGAGTACACAACTTTGCTACATATAGAAGGGGCTTTGGAGAATCAAATTTATTCAAGGTCAATTAAAACTCAACCTTTTCGAGTTAAATTAGCAAAGATTGCAGGAGTACGAGAGGAATGGGTGGTGTCCCGTACAAAACAAAAGGGCGAAAGCGAAGGCATTGCTTGGACCAACATTAAAGAACTTATTCAGAGTCATCCAGACACTAAAGTACAATTTGATCTCTTTGCTCTGGGTATGTATGGTATGGTCATCTTCCCAAAAGTATTGGGATATATTGAAGCTGCAGTAGTAGATTTGTTTGAGCAGCTACCAAAAAAGATTAATCCTGCATCTGCAATTCTAGCAGAGACTTTCAGATCGTTAAACGCTTGTAGAAAGCTAGGAGGTGGACGATTCTCAGGGTGTACCCAATTGTTATATGTCTGGATCCGTAGCCTTTTCTGGAGGACAGAAAAGAATTCATATCGGCGCTATAATACGGACTACTCACCATTAAAAGAATTTATGGAGCAAGAATGGTCGAAAGAAATTACGAAAGATATGTGGATTAATGCCTTTCGAAATCTGCAAAGCGATGACATTGTTTGGCGAGCCCCGTGGCAAATCCAAAGGGAATTCTTTTACAAATGTGGTGATTACAACTGGGTAATGCTGCTCGGATTGTGGGGAGGAATTGGATATGCACCACTTCTGGTCATAAGACAGTGTGAAGGTCGTCAATTTATACCTGTCACTGCTGGATTACATTCATCTGAGTTTGCATTCCACAACAAAAATTATAAATGAAATATCATGGAGGCCTTTACAGCTTGGAAAACAACTTTTTGTATCTGAGCTAAAGCAGCAAAAGAAATGTTAACTCTTGATTATGAGGAATGGAGATCTGTCAGGAAAAATGAAAATATCCCTTTACCAGACCAAAATGAGGATATCTCTATGGAAGATCACATTAAGGTGGTTCCATCAGAGATTGAAATCCTGGGAGCTGAGTTTGAAGCAGAAAGAGAAGGTTAGTCAAGAGAATTAGAGAAAATGAGACAAGATAAAGCTATGTTGGGTGTTGACATTGACTTTCATTCATCACAATGTGCAATATTGAGAGAAAACAAAGAAAAAGTTGATGGTGAATTCAGAACATTAAAGAAAAATTACCAGGAGTTATATAAATCCCAGAAAGCATCAAGACCGAGCCGATCAACAATATAGATGACCAGAGAATTGAATATCGAGAAAAGTCGAGTTGAAGATCTGAAAAGAAAGAATAGCCGTCTACTCAAAAGCCTTGAGAAAGGAAAGCAGAAAATGGAAGATTTTGATGTTGATAGAAGAGAACGAATTATAAAACACAAAGCTGAACACCGCGAGATCATGAATGAAATGCAAAGAGAAAAGGATCGAGTCAAAGATTTAGAAGAGATGAAGAATGACATCCTTGATAAATTTGAAGGTGAGAAAAATATCATGTTCAAGGGATTTGAATCTGAAATGAACCATCTGATTGTCGAACTTGAAGTCAGGGGCCAAAGGATTGAAGAGTTCAATGTTGAAAAAGAAAAATGGGAGCTGGAAAGAAAGAATTTCAACACCAAACTTGAGGTAAAACAAGAAGTAGCTAGCAATTGGATGCAAAGAT